CGCCGAATTCGCGCCACTCTCCAAAGTCTCCTCTCAACAACATCTTGACTTAATGCAGATACGATGTCCAACCCAAGTTTGGTTTGCACAGACTTCTTGTTCCAAATCTTGATGCCGTCTGGCCGCGACCGAGAACAAACTTAATGCCCCCCAAGGCCCCACGCATAAAGGAACTGTGCATTGGCCAGGAATCGAACCCGGGCCTCCCGCGCGGGAGCCTGGGATTGTTTAGCTAAACGGCCCTAAACCGTTTCCCATTCATTCTCTATGGTAGTGCTAAACCACTACGGATGTAATATATTTTTGGCCACTACGGTCTTCCGGCGCTGTTGCGAGTTTGAGATGCGGCAATTTTTAAAAATCACAACTTTTAAATTTCGGGAGACGAAACAAGTAACGCACTGCTCGCAACACATCTCAACGATCCTCGTTCATTGATCAAAGGTAAGAAATGTCGTTTGGAATAAGAGTAAAACAACAGAATACATTTACAGGTGTATATTACAGGTAATAGACGTGTTGCGATTGCATTTACGAAGCATCCATCGCTCGGTTAAAGACGGTGGGAGTTTATCCGCTGTTGTAAAGTGGCACGGTAAAAAATGAATGAACGTGATCCTTAAATAAATTGCGTGTTTCATTGACGTGTTTGACTGTTAAATAAACTTGGTAGGTTTCTGACTGCTGTGACACTGACATTACTATAATGTGGTGTAATTAAATAATCGATAAATGGCTTGTTATGAGATGACATGCTAAATGACGTAACCTGCATTTTTTAAAAATTTGTATTGCATTCATGTTGTAATGGTCAGTAATCGTATCTATACGACAGTCTTGATATCTCACTAACATGAGCAATGCCCACTAGTGTAAGAATAAACAGGATATCTTAAATAGGTATGTCGATAATCTGCCTGCAGTTCTTATGTACCATGACTATGTTGAGACAACGCCGGTCTCTGCGATTCTTTTGGTCCTGGTAGAGATCACGCTGAGATGTTTCCAAGTATCAAGGTATCACTTTATTTCCCAATCCCAATACAAATGCGCATTTGGAGATCAACACTACATCCTGTGCAGTCCTATTCTAAAGTTGATCTGAAGAGTTTTACACAGCAGCTACAGTTATAGTCTCTGGTCTCCTCCTCCTACAGTAAACCCCCCACAGTGGAAAAACACTGGTTCAGTGGCCAGGTATGCTGACACCCTACCCCCCATCTCCTTTTAAGGAAATGTCCATCCACCATTGTCTGCCCCTCACCCTCAGTATCTCTTGCTACTGTCCTGGGGGTGGGGGTTAGATGTCCCACTGCCCTGCACTCCAGTTCTTTGTTCCCCCCTTCCAGGACTATTTTTATTGTGTATTCCTACATTCTATCTACAACAAAATCCTACTATGACACCGACTAATAAACTACATTCCCTATGACCTCAATCCCTAATAAACAATCTATTATTTCTACAACTACTAAGCAGTTGGCACAAATTTTGCATTCAACCATAAAAGGTTTTTATTTACAGACGGAACAGTTTGTATTGCCTGGAGAAAAAACATTTTTATCGCAAATGTTGATTCAGATTTTGTCTCTTTATTGTTCTCCTGCATCCTGCTGTTTAACCCAGCCACAATGTGCAGCAAGATTATAACCTGAAATGTCTTTGTTTCTGTTTGGAACCAATTTTGTTTAATATAATTGTTTATTTTTTCACTGCATGTCAAGATGCACAAGAAAGTTGCACCATATCCAGGAAAAATCTCAGTGGTGTTCCGTAAGGGGCCACTTGGATACCTTCTCCAGGACCCGTCAAAAGAAGCTCGACGGATTAAAAATGACCCCAAACTGCAGGACAAGTCTGCACCTGTGAGGGAGGACGTTGTCCATCAGAATGCTCTGACTGTAATCTATCAGAGAGGAGGGGATGCATCTGACATGAAGGAAGTGCAGGGAGAGTACATCCTGCAGTTTGGAAAATATAAAGGGAA